CCTGAGGTGCTGCACTTCCCTCAGAAAAGGATCTAATGACACCTCCATACTCAATTCCTAGATTCCTTTCCTCACCAGATGGTTCTTCTGTCTATTGCTTCTCAAACTTCTTGTCCCCTTTGCCCCAACTTGGCGTTTTCTTCTTAGGTCTATTAAGACCCAGTAGTACTGAACCACTCATGCCATCCACCCTTTTCTGAGGGCAGTGAAGCACCTCAGGGTGCAAAAGACCAGAAATGAATCTGCATTTAAGAGAAGAGTTAATGGAACAGGCAAAGCAAAAGTTTACTACCACTGAAACCTCAAATTGTGTGGTCCCAGCTACCGTCAAAGCTAGATCTTTGGTTGGCCTTCAGTATGTCAAGAGGCTCATAGTCTTTGCAAAAAGGCAGAAGCCAATACCACCATCCAAACAGTGTGCCAGATATAAAACCGATGACATTAACCATGCCTCCTACAGCACTCAACTGGGTTCAAGAATCTTCTGCAGTGGCCACACAGGACACCATACTCACAGCTATGGGGTTTACTAGGGACGTTAACAGGTAACAATTCAGGGTCAGAAACTCTCAGAGCACAGTTGTTGCAGTCAGGACAGACTCTCCTCCAGACTCACAGGCAGGCCTCTCTCTGCCCTGCCAATGCTACAAAGCTATTTTAGGACTGCTGATAAATGTCCACAGGACAAACCACTCCTCAGCCTGAAGGCTCTCAGTTCTGGCTGCCCTAGTTAAATACCTGGAGGCACCCTACTCTGCAAGCACGCCTCCTGCCAAGTCACTAGGCTTTACTTGCTCTGTGGGCTGGGAAGCGCACTGCTCTGCCTTGTGCTCAGACTCTTGGTTCTGCTTCTGCTCTGCCACGCCTCCAGTGTCACAGCTTTCTGGCTCAGGGTCCAAAGGATGCAATCACTCCTGCTTATTCCTGCTTCTGAGATGGCCTATGTTATATCCAGCAGGATGGAAAAATTTATCACAATTAGCCATGTTAACAATCACTCCCAGCTGAATCATAGAACCCATCAACATCTTCCCCCATCATTTTCCTACCCAGATCCCTTACGGAAAAATTGATTGGTGGGAATTTACAAAGACAATAACTAGAGAAGACATTATATAATTCACTACACTGCACAGGGCCTTGGAGTCAGCTAAGCCGTACAAGCTGCAGGGGACTTGGGGTTATGGGAGAAAGCAGCCCATGCCTTTGCCATTGCTTCTAAACTACAGGGATGAAGATGCCACTGAAACAAGGAAGTTCAGCCAAGGGCTGAGAGGACTGACAAATACTGGAGAAAGAAGGTGCAAAAACGTGAGGATGAATAGGTTAAGGAAAGGCAAGAATGAATAGTAACAGAAGAACCCAAGGAGAGAAAAGGGCCCCAGGACTCAAAGCAGCTCTCTGAAGATTTTCCAGCGCTTTTCTGGAAGAAAAGGAAGAATGCCTGAAATCAAAGAGAGGAATATGGCCTGGATTAGCAGAGATGTCCTGACTCTAAATTAAATTCTGAGCAACAAAAGTCCTACAGCAATGCATCATCCAGAATAGGATTTCATTGCTGCCTACCAGTCTACTCTGGATTTTTAATATGGGCTTGTACCATATAAACTGGGATAAGCCTAACCTTTCAGGATATGGCCCAGAACTCAGCAAACATGTCAAATTATCGTAGCAACCCAAATGCTTGAATCTTACCAATAAATCACCAAGTTTGGAGGACAAAGATAATGCCCTTTTGATAAATAGTCAAAATAAGACAGGCTTCTTCCATAAGACAAACTATGAAGTCCTGATCTACTTGTAAAACAAAATCAGCCAAATAAATTCCTCTAGATCACAATAATCCAAACCTGTTGTGCATGGGGTTAGGGGCTGACTCAACAGCAGCTAACAGCAAAGGAAAAAAAATATTCATATTAATTCTTGGTGAGTTTAAACCAAGTAACTCTGATCTCATGTAAAAAACTTTAAAATCAGTACAACTGTGATGATAATATCTCTAACCCTCTGCTTCAATGCATTAGAAACATTTTAATTTTCCGTTAGTCTCTTCAAATGTTTTCCTACTTATTGGCTATTATAAATTTGAACTACGAGTATTTGGGCATTCTTAAAAACTAGAGCATAAAGAAAAATAAGGAATTTCTAAATTTAGAAATGTACTCATTTTGGCTTTGGCTTGGTTGGATAAAGAAGGAACTTAAATATCTCTTATTCTACTTCAGGTAAACACATCTAATCAGAGGAAAAACATTGCTCGTTATTTAAACATTGTTGCTGTTGTTGTAAAGTGCCAATAAGTCGGGTTCTGACCCATAGTGGCCCTATACAGGGTTTCCAAGAAGCAGCTGGTGAGCTTGAACTGCTGACCTTGCAGTTCAAACTGACTTTGCAATTCAGAACATTACCCCACAGCGCCACACCAGTACTCCCATTATTTAAATGTTAGGTATATTTTGTCTTCCAATCCTGATATTTGTTGTTTCTAATTTTCATACAGGTAATGAACCTGTCGATATTTAACAGGATTTGGTTACAGATGGGAACCCTTAGTGCAAATTTCAGTAGGTGGTTCAAACCCACCAGCAGCTCCTTGGAAGGCCTACACAGAGTCACTATGAGTCAGAACCGACTCAACAGCACTTAACAACACAATTCCATTTTATATAGCATGTTGTTGTTGTTGAGTGCCATCGAGTCAGTTTCAACTCATAGCAAACCTGTATAAGGGTTTCAAGGAACTGAACTGTATAAGGGTTTCAAGTGAACGTGAATCACCAACCTTGCAGTTCAAACCAACTTTGCAATCCAGCACATTAATCCACAGTGCCACACAAGGATCATTTCATATAGTATGTTTTTGTTAAGTGCCGTCGAGTCAGTTCTGACCCATAGTGACCCTGCATAGAGTTTCGAGGAGTAGCTGGTGAGCTTGAACCGCCGACCATTCCATTCAAAGCAGCTTTGCAGTCCAGCGCATTAACCCACAGCGCCACACCAGGAAAGTTGCGAAGATCAGTAGGGAGCAATGAGAACCTATACTGTGATCTAAGGTAAGATGTTTATAAACGGCACATATGTAAGGGAGGTTCAAAAAGTTAGCAGAAAAACAGAGTTAAAATATAATGGAAATTTTTGCAAAAAATTCCTGAAACTCCCTCATATTCTTGGTCCTGTTAGCTAAAATACAAATGAGATGTATTGCATTGCTTCCACAGAGAAGGTGTTTTCCTTTTACATATGTATCCACTCTGTCCATGTTTTGATTTCTCCTGGAGGTTAAATAGCCCTTTTTCTCTGGCAGGATCAAAACTACCATCATCCACAGCAAAATTACTTGAGCATACATACATATCGAATGCAGGGTTCAAAAACAAGCAATGTGGTATCATTGAAGAGAATGCCCGAAACCCTTTCTGAATTGGCCAAGGAAGTTAATTCCCATGTATCATTCAAGGTTCAATGACTTCCATTTAGACATTTTATGCCAAAAGATTCTGCAAGATTCTGTTTCATCTTCAGTCTTTAACATAGAAAATTAACATATTATAAGTAACCTTGAATTCATCATCAGAATAGTTGCATTTTGGGAAGGAGAGCTTAAAGACTAGATTTGCTGATGTACACAGGTGAGTCGACTTACATGATCTAGCATAAATTACAAAATAGACTAGGTCCGTGGTTCTTTTTCATCATGAGATCATTAGCTCTGAAAGCCACTGTTGGGCCCTGTAGGTCTCTTTAAGTAGAACAACTCCATTTCTCATGAATCAGAACAGAATAAAGGCAACTTTAGAAATGTGAGGAGGTAAAAAATTTATCTCTTCTGTTCTCTCTTAGGAAAATAGAAAATCTTGTTCAGCAAAACAAAGTATAAGCTAAGATAGAAAAATATGTGATCCAGAAAACAAATAGATTCAACTGAAGTCTAGAAATAAAACAGGGTTGGCAGGTGTATGGCAGACTTAAGTTGTAGCAGGAAGATATTCTCAGGTAGATAAAGTAATAACGCACCTGGAAAACAATTAAGGATTTAAAAAGAAAAATTAAGTAAATACACAATTAACTGTTATTAGCACAAGGAAAATCCAAACAAAATTTTGTCACAGTAGAACTATACAATAAACCAAAAACACCAAATCTATTACCATCAAGATGATTCTGTCTCCAGTCAATTGTGACCCCACGGGTTATAGCGTCCCAGAGGGTTTTCTGGCTGCGGTCTTTATAGAAGCAGATTACCAGGCCTTTCTTTCATGGTGTCACTGAAAGGTTAACTGTTGTTAGGTGGCATCGAGTCACCGACCCATAGCAACCTTATGCACAACAGAACAAACACTGCCCGATCCTGGGCCAATCTCACAAGCATTGCCACGCTTGAGCTCATTAATGCTGCAACTTTGCCAATCCATCTTGCTGGGATCTTCCTCTTTTTCTCTGACCCTCCACCTTACCAAACATATCCTTCTCCAGTGACTGGTCCCTCCTGACAATATGTCCGAAGCATGAGAAATGAAGTTTGGCCATCCTGACCTCCAAGGAGCACTCTGGCTGCACTTTTTCCAACACAGATCTATTGGTTCTTTTGGCAACCCATGGCACTTTCAATATTCTCCTCCAACACCCAACACCATAACTCAAAAGCATCAATTCTTTAGTCTTCCCTATTCACTGTCCAGCTTTCACATGCATATGAGGTTACTGAAAATACCATGGCTTGGGTCAGGCGCACCTTAGTCTTCAAGCTGACATCTTTGCTCTTCAACACTTGAAAAAGGTTAATAGCTGAGTGCAAACTGCTAGGAGTCACCCTGGGACCTAACTCTATAATAATCAGTAGTTAAATCATCATAATGATACAAACACTGGTATCTGATTTATCATAAAAGGAAGGCCAAGTCTAAATTCTCATCAATAAATAGCGATAATATTTAGTATGTAAAGGCAACTTCTAAATCTTTTTACTCCTAATATTTTTAACAAAGAATACATAGTTAATTTTTTCTTTAGTTTATTTAAAGATTTATTTTTTATACAAAAAGAAACCAACAGAGATCCAAAGGTATTGTAAAATTCCACAGTTGTCTTTCCCCTTTTTTCTTGTGTTTTGTAAATAAAGACGCTGCTTAACGTGTTCTGTTCTTCATTTTATCTCTTGTCCGTTTCCCAGGTCTCTTCTGCAGAAAGAGAAACACAGCTAGTCATATAGCAGCTTAGTTTCTGGCCCCAAGTCAGAGTGTACTTGGTATAAAAGGGAGCAGGAGATCCATACGGGGTGGGAGAGAAGACTGGTCCTTGCCCCTCCCTGGGGGCTCCCTGGCTCACTTACATTTGATCCTTTCTTTCCAGGCTTCTTGGGACCCTTGCCATGAGCTGTCTTGGCCCGGAAGCTAGATACATCATCATAGCTCTCACGGGTGTTCCACTTGGAGCCTTTCTTCTTTCCACCAAAACCAAATTTCTGGTTTTTATAGCGTCGTTTGGCACTGGGTCTGGAAAAAAGTGGTCCTAAAGGTTACTGGTGTGGTGCTGTAGGATAAGCACTAGACCATAAGGTCTGTTTGAATCACAAGGTCGGCGATTCAAACTCACCAGTCACTCCTCAGAAACCGTATACAGGGTCACTGTGAGTTGGAATCAACAACAACAAAGGTTACTCAGAGCACTACAAATTCTAACAAGGATTCCTTTCTGCAAGCAAAACCCCCTAAGCACAAAGGGGCCCTACATTCTTCTACAAATTCCCAAGCAGGCTCACTTACTCGTGGATTTAACCGCTAGAGCCAGAAAACGAATCAAGTAAAGAAGGATCTACAAACTTATGTGGCTCAGTGTTTGCCTTTGGGAAGCTTTCTATTTTTAATAAAATCTTCTTAAACCACCCTTGTTGTTCTTGTTGTTATGTGCCGTCAAGTCGATTCCGACCCGTAGTGACCTTGTATAGGGTTTCCAAGGAGCAACTGGTGAGCTTAAACCGCTGACCTTGCAGTTCAAACGACTTTGCAGTCCAGCATATTAACCCACACAGTGCCACACCAGGACTCCAAATCACCCTTAGTTGGTTCTATTTCTCTAAGAATATATGTTGTTGTTGTTGTTAAGTGCTGTTGAGTTGATTCCGACCCACAGCGACCCTGTATAGGTTTTCCAAGGAGTAGCTGGTGAGCTTGAACCACCGATCTTGCAGTTCAAACAACTTCGCAGTCTGACGCAGTAGCTCACAGTGCCACACCAGGACTCCCTAAGTATATATACATACAGTTAAAATTCAAATGTAATACATTTTAAAACTGGTCATCCACAGGAATCTCAAATTCAGTACATCAAAACTGACAAGACTCCTAAACTGATTATATCTCCTGTGTACGTGCTCAAACTTGAGGTTGGCAGTACCACCATCTACACCCAGCCACCCAGGAGTTGGCTTCAATTCTGCCAACATTATCACTTTTAATCTCTAGAATACTATGAGGCACATACTGTTTTTCTCATTTTAATCAACAACAAAAAATGAACATTTAGAAAGTAAATCACTTGCTCTAAGGAGCTCTCTCTTTTTTTTCCCCAAGGTTAGGGTTAGGACTAAAGCATAAGGGCTAGGGCCAGACTAGTGTTTGATGTTGTTGTTAAGTACCGTCCAGTCCATTCCAACTCATAGTGACCCGGAATAGGGTTTCTGAAGAGCGGCTCGTGGGTTTGAACCACCAACCTTGCGGTTCAAACCAACCTTGCAGTCCAGAGCATTAACCCACAGCACCACACCACGGTTATCTCTAATCCAACAAAATATCTTCTTAATACACAGCAGAGCCTGAACTGGAACCCTAATCCAACTATGACACTATGTGATGGGGAATCAATCACTGCTAAACATTCACTTAAAATATACCAGACACCAAGCTACCTTATTTTAATCTTCAAAGATGGATATGGATGGCTAAAAGGGCCAATAATCCTGCAGCACTGTGAGTTCTGGCCTCAACACCGAGCCTGTTCTTTGTGGAGGTGCCCTGGGCACTCATGAAGATCAGCCCATTTTGAGTACAGACCACAGAGCAAAGCTAAAACAAAACCAAAATCCTTCTCACCCCTTCTTCATCTGCTGGCCTTTAGCTTTTTCCTTTGTGCCTCGTGCATTGGGTTTCTGATCTCCCTCAAGGAAATCCAGTTTATCAGAGAAGCCTGTAAACGAAGAAGTGCTTGGATCAGCACCATGGCATTTTCAGAAGAAACATTTAAAACTCAAAATATGGTTTGTTAGTTGCTAAATTGTTTTCAAGAGGCACGCCTTGCTCCCCGTATCATCCCCAAACCTTTGGTCTACAGCCTAATTCGTTAGAATTAACTCTCAGGTTTCTGTGTTCCCTGCACCCTCAGGAGAGAGACATACCGACCTTTCTGGTATTTCTTAATGGCATTCATCATATGTGTTTTCTCCCGCTGCCTCTTCTGAAGAACCTCTGTTTGTACCTGTGAGATGGACACGGGACCATCACACACTTCAGACCATTGTTTCAGCAGCTATAGTCTCTCAGTAACACTGTGATTCACATCCCGGCCAATTAACACTCAAATAAATCAACCAAGCCCACTAACATCACGTGGATTCTGACTCACAGATAGACCTACTCCTTAGGGGTTCCAAGACTACATCTTTAAGGCAGAAGACAGCTTCAGCCTTCTCCCACCGAGTGGCTAGTGGACTTGAACTGCCATTGTTAAGGTTAGCAGCCCAATGCTTACTTAGCCCACAGAGCCACCAGGACTCCGTAAGTAATAATCAATTTATCTCCATAAGAACCCAGTGAAGAGAGTTAACCCAGCATAGAGAGTTAAGCAGCTTGCTCAAGCCCTATAGCAAGCAAGTATAGAGCTGAGATTCACACTCTGGTAGTTCACCTCTAGAGCGCTTGCATTTTTACCCCATTATTCAATTCACATTAACCAATTTGTAACAGCCAGTTGTAACAGCTAAAATTGTTTTCAGACGTTATTTGAGAACCACTGCACCAAGGTTTCTTCAGATTAGAAATAGTGAGCAGGCCACAGGGAGTTTTACTTCGTTTTTCCTAAATTGTAGTTGTTAGCCACTGTCAAGTCAGCTCTGCGTGGAACCAAAGCAAACCAAGGTAATCTGTGTGGAATCAATCAGATAGGCACACCCCACCTCCTCCCTTTCCTTCTTACCTTCTTTCCATATTTCCTAAGTGCTCGTAGTTGCTTAGCCTTTTCAGACTTCTCCATGGCAGCCTGTTTAGTCTGCAGCTTCTGTCGAATCTAAAACATAAAATGTTGTCAAGTTATCTTAGTTCAATCTGAGATGAGTTACTTAGAGCAACCAGACAGAGCAGGGAACAGCAGATACCCCCAGCTCTAGAAATAGTAGAGCTCAAAGGAACCTTGTCAACCATCTGTTCTAACCCGTGTTTTACACGTAAGGATACCCAACCCACTGCCATCTTGTTGATTCCAACTCTTAGCGACTGTATATAGGGTTTCCGAGACTGTATATCTTTATGGGAGCAGATAGCCTCATCTTTCTCCCACAGAGCAGCTGATGGGTTTCAACCACTGACCTTGAGGTTAACAACCCAACGCCCAGTCCACAGTGCCACCAGGGCTCTTACACATGACGTGAAAAAAAGCCCCAATGTTAACACTTTGTCCCAGATACTAAAAGTGTCGGTGGTAGAGCCAGAACTTGAAAGCAAACTTCCTACCATCAGGCTGATACTTGTTCCATTATACAAAACTGCCTCCATAACAGTCCAGGAATGACTAACTTGTCCTCGTCCCTAATGTATACAGGCTTAAACCAGATTAAACGAGCAGGTAGCCTCATAGTTCCCTTATTCTACAGACCACACACACACACTGAAAACACCAACAGGTACCTAGCCTCTTCCCACAAACACACACATCTATCTGTTAAGGGATGCGAAGTCAGTTGTCAATATGAATGTATAGAGATGTGTCTGGGTACCACTAAAACAAGAGCTATCTAAAACTCACTTGAGTAGGAAGCCATTTAAACATATCTTGGCTTCTTGTTGTTGTTATTAAAGGCCATAGAGTCAGTTCTAACTCAAAGCAACCCTATATATGGTTTCTGAGGAATGGATGGTGGGTTTGAACCACCAACCTTGTGGTTAACAGTCCAGTGTTTATCTTATATGTTGACAATTTTCTCCCAAAGTTAAATGAGAAACAAGTTCTAGCTGAATTTAAATTGTATCATATCTGAGGTATACACACTTCTACAGATTAACCCTCATTTATAGAAGCGTTAACTGGGGCCAGAGAGAAGTAACTTGTCTACCAGTTATAGCATTGCTCACTGTCAACGGAAGACCAAGAACTGTTCTCCTTTCAACACACCACGCCATGATCAGGCTGACCAGGAAATATAAAAGGCCACCTTTACCTCAGGGAACCACATTTCATCTTGCCACACTTAAATTAGGAGAAACCATCCCTACATTTAGCTGATCAGTGGCGACGGATGAGTCTAAAATAGACAACCTTGGAGAAAATGATAACTGTCTGCTGAAAGCCAGTTTCCCACTATTGTGCTTATGGCTGTCACCATGAAGCATTACAGGACACACAGAAACTAAACCCACTGCCACCGGGTCAATTTCAACTCAGAGCAACCCTACAGAACGGCCCCAGAGGGTTTCCAGACAAAGCAGACTGCCGTATCTTTTTCCCATGGAACAGTTAGATTGAAACTGCCAATCTTCAGGTTTATAGCTGAGTACTTAATCAGTGTACTACAAGACTCCAACTTAGGACATGTTGTTGTTAAGTGCTGTCGAATCATAGCAGCCCTGTATAGGGTTTCTGAGGAGAAGCTGG